CAACTACTCTGCCACTGAGCTACGTCACCTCCTATATTGATGCTTTCTATCTTTTAATCCTACAAGATGCTCTTATGATTATTGCTATTACTGTTTTGAACTATTAATATTCATTAGATGGCTCTACATATTCACCATTCCAATTTTTTAGGAAATTTTCTTCTGAATTTCCAATCTCACCCTGGATCGCTTTGCCTCTGACACTTTAATTTCATTTTGTTTAGTCATGATTTTTCTGGTTTTAGTGTATCTGAGAATGTCCTTCTTTTCATATTTGAAGGACATTTTTGCTTGGTATAGATTTCTAATTGCTAGTTATTGTCTTTCAGCACTTTGAAGATGATTATATTTGGGGGGGGCTTCTGTTGTTTTTGCTGAAAAATATTAGCTATAAGTCTTACTCTTGTTCCTATGAAGATAATTTGTCTTTCCTCTGGCTATTTTGAGTCTTTCTCCTTCCTTTTGTCTTTGGGTTTCTGCAGTTTCATAATGAAATGACTAAGTTTGGTTTTCTTTTAATTTACCTTAGTTGAGGTTTGTATACTTGAATTTGTGTATGTCATTTATAAGTTTTGGGAAATTCTGTTATTATCTTTTTTAATATTACTTTTGCCTTATCCTCTTTCTCCTCTCTGTTAGGGACTGCAATTGCTTTTTGTGTTAAGCTATTCATGTGTCCTCTGCATCTCATACTGTATCTTTATTTTTTCCCATCAATTTTGTCTTTCTATGCTTCATTCTAGACGTTTTCTTCTACCTTAATTTTCTCTGCAGTTTGCTTAATCTTTACAACTGTCCAGTGGTTTTTTGTTTTTTTTTTTCAGTCCTGGGAAACTCAGGGGCACCCTACTACTGAGCTACATCCTCATCATGGAGGCTGGCTTTCAACTTAGGATCCTTCTGATTCTGCCTCCCAAGAAGCTAGGGATACAGACATGTGCCACCATGTCTAACCCAATGGATTCTTAATTTTACTTATTTTTTAGCTCTGAAATTTCTAGTTCATCATTATTATTATAACTGACTCTTCTGATTCTGTTTTTGGTATTGAGGGTTTTTTTTTTTTTTTTTTTAAATCTGGGCACTTCCCACTGAGCTACATTCCTAGCATTTTTTTTAATGATCCCAACTTAGTTTGCTTAGGGCCTTGCTAAGTTGCTGAGGGGTGGCTAGGATTATAGGTATGCACTACCATGCCTAGCATCTGATTATTATTATTATTTTTTTTGTGGTGCTAGGGATTGAACCCAGGGCCTTGTGCATGCGAGGCAAGCACTCTAGTAACTGAGCTACATCCTCAGCCCAACTTTTATCTTATTGAACTGACTATAGTTAAGTTCATATCCTGAGCTCCAGTGAAATTATTTGTATTTCCTGTCATTTTTGTTCATATTTTCAAGTATCATTGTATGTCTTGCTTTTTTTTTTTTCTTCAGGACACACCATTAACAAGTTTGAGGGATTGGGATGATCTGAAGCTAAACTATAATTCCTGTGAGGGCCTACTTCAGTTTCATCATTTTTTTTTTTTTTTTGATAGTCACTGACTACCAGTGTCTGCCATACTTAACTTTGAAAATCAGTCAAAAGTAGAGACTATTAGATTCTCAGTTTCCCCTAGAGACCCATTATATATCCTAGAAGAGAATATAGTTCCTGGGCCTATTTCCTTCTACATATTGGTTTGGAAATTCTATCTGGTTAATTCTCTGATGCATTTAAGCAGATTTTAAAAAGTAAAGTTGAGACTAAAAATATATACTTTGTTAACTTTTTCTGGTTACCCTCAGTGGGAAGATTGGTCTGAATTGCCTAATCTATTAGTACCAGACTCAGAAGTCCTTCCTACCTATTTTTTTTCCATCTTCAAATATTTGTTGATACTTTTTAATATTCATTTTTTTCCTCTTCTATTTTTTTAATCTCTGTAGGTTTATACATTTAAATATTATCCTCATTTTAATGTGATTTTGGAAGGAAGACTAAGTAAATACAAACACATGGCCTTTCTACCCTAATTGGAAGTCTCCAACTTTTTTTTAATATATATATTTTTAATTGCAGGTGGACACAATACTTTTATTTTATTTTTATATGGTGGTGAGGATTTAACCCAGTGCTTCATGCATGCTAGGTGAGCGATCTCTCACTGAGCCACAACCCCAGCCCTCTAACTTCTTAAACTGGATTCAAAGCCCATCTCCAACACATTCTTCAGTTGGTGATCCAAGTAACTCAATTTCTTTCCCATTTTAATTTAAACTAAGTCATTTAACTATTATTGTATTTCTCTACTTCCATTTATCACTAGCAGAATAATGTACTTGTGTTTCACTTGATTTGCCTCAGCTTCTTATGTTCCCAATTTACCCACATCCAACAATTCAGTTTCCATTCTATCATTCATAGGACTGATGACTAACTTATAGTAATGGCAGCAGCATAAGGTGGTGTGGTAAGTCCTTTTAGGAATACCAATATAAGATATGAAATATTTAGGGATGGGGATCTAACGCAGTGTAGAACGTTTGCTTGGCATGTCCAAGGCCTTGGATTCAATCTCCAGCACACTGCAACATACACATATAAAACATTTTAAAAAAACAACTATTTGAAAGTGATCATCTGGTTTCTATCATAGGTAATCAGCTCTTCTACTGTAGTTTGAAAGCAACTGTAGAAAATATATTAGCACTGCATTTAAAAATATTTGACTGTGCTCAAAAACAACTTTATTTACACATACAAATGGTAAGCCAGCCTGGCACAGTGGCGCATTGCCTATAATCCCAGCAACTTGAGAGGCAGAGTGAGGATCCCAAGTTCAAAGCCAGCCTCACTAACTTAGTGAAGCCCTAGTTAACTTATCCTGTCTCAAAATAAAAAATAAAGAGAGCCAGGTATGGTGGTATATGCCTGTAATCCCAGCAGCTGGGGAGGCTGAGGCAGGAAGATTGCAAATTCAAAGCCAGCCTCAGCAGTTTATCAAGGCCCTAAACCACTTAACAAGACCCTGTCTCTAAATAAAAATTTAAAAAGGGCTGGGGATTTAGCTCAGTGCCCCTGGGTTTAATCCCTGGTACCAAAAAAATAAATTAAAAAAAATAAAAAGGGCTTGGAATATGGCTCAGTGGTTAAGTGCTCCTAGGTTTAATCCCCAGTATAAGGAAAAATAACCAAAACAGTTTCGGCACCATAATGAAAGCACAAATAACCGGGATGGGAGCAGACTTCATGGATCAGCTCTGCCTTTTATTCAGCAGCAGAGTCAGGCATCAGAGGGGCTCACTTTCTGGTAGAAATGGTCACTGGTTACAAGAGGGCTTGAGTTTTTATAGGTTACACTGAGAGGTGTAACATATAGGTTACATTGAGAGAATGTGTCAGTTTGGGCACTCAGGCAACAGGTTGTGAGAATTTGAAACTTATTTTTACTGGACAAGGATGTAGGGTAGAATGTTTCTCTCTTTTCTCCAGGAGTCACTGGGAAAGGATTAATGTTTGGCTGTCTCCTCTGAGGTCTATAGTCACTGGAAAGAATTTACTGGGAAAGGATCAATATTTGTCCCTTCCCAGGGACTGCCATTTTAGGATTGATGTTTGCCTCTTTCAAGGGATTGTCTTGTCACTGGGAAAGGATTTACTGGGGAAGAATCAATGTTTTGCTTTCTTTCTCCTTCCCTCCTCCTGTCTTGGGGGGTTGTCATTTTCCATATCCTTCACCTGGTACCCCCCCACCCCGAAATAAAAGGGCAAGCCAGATGTGGCCAATAGGCCATTGCTTGCATATTTCTGTCTTAGAGCAACCCCAATCAAATAGTTATATACTATAATATACTACAAATAAGTCAAAATGAATGCTAAAGAATGTTCACATCACACACAGGAAGGCAGGGAAAAAAGGAAATAACAGAATAAAAAGCAGAGAAGACAAATTGAAAACAAACAATGAAATGGCATACTTAAATCCTGTCATATAAGGAATTACTATGGTAAACTGAAAAATGGCTCCTCGAAGATGCCCCTTTTCTAGTTCCTGGGATCTGTGATTGTTACATTATATGGCAAAAGAGACTTCTGGTGTAATGAAGTTAGATTTTGAAACAGGGAGATTATTTTGGATTATCTAGGTTGGCCCCTTTTGAGGGCATACTCCTAATATCTGGCATAGACATGTTCAAATATAGTTGCTCTGTGATTTTTATTATTTTTTGAATAGTGAAATAAAAAGAATAGAATTTCTTGGGGCTGGGGTTGTGGCTCAAGTGGTAGTGCACTTGCCTAGCATGCGTGAGGCACTGGGTTTGATCCTTAGCACCACATAAAAATAAAATAAAGGTTAAAAAAAAAAAAGAATAGAGTTCCTGTTCTCTGAGGGCTTTAATGTTATCAAAAAATATATTTTTCTTATCTGGATTCTTGAGATCCTGGATTTAGAAAGTAACTTTTATAATCACAATCCATTTGATATTGTGATTTGGATTTTACAGCAAGGTTGTATAGGGGTGGGGTGTGATATAGTGATAAAAGTTGTGCTATCAATTTAGATTATCTCCTTAAGTTATTCAAAAATGTAAGCAAGTCTATCAAAGTCTGTCCATGCAGTTTAGGGAATATGTTTCTCATGTTTTACAAATTTTATCTTCTATAATAACTTTAAAATTTCTTTTTGTAGTTGTAGATGGGCAGAATGCCTTTATTTTATTTGTTTATTTTTACATGGTGCTGAAGATTGATCCCAGTTCCTCAAGCATTCTAGGCAAGCGCTCTGCCACTGAGTTATAACCCCAGCCCTGTAATAATTTTTTTTAATATTTATTTCTCAGGTGTAGATGGACACAACACAATGCCTTTATTTTTATGTGGTGCTAAGGATTGAACCCAGGTCCCGCCGGTGCTAGGCGAGCGCTCTACCGCTGAGCCACAATCCCAGCCCCTGTAATAACTTTTTAATACCCAAGATAGGAAGTGATTTTTAAATCAAAATGTAATCTATTTAGGAGCAGGAGCTGCATTATCCATTCTAGATGAATTTCTTGAAGAATCTTCCAAACTGCCATCTGAGTCAGGAGAACCCATATTGTCTACACAATTTCAGGATTCAAGTATTGACCCCAAACAATCCAACCTGTTTTTCAAGGAGATACCGGAAAAAAAAGGTAACTAGGAATTAAGACTTCCACTTGAAATGGGGGCATAAACAAACTAGGCAAGGATGAAAACTCTCATGATTATATAGGCAACAATGCTGACTTGTTTGAAATTAATATTGCCTACATTCTTTCGGATTATTCTAAGCTCTGAAGTTCAAAAACAGAGGTGTAACTTCTTTAGTAAGCAAGGATTTTAAGCTCACCCAAGTAGTTCACAAAAGACCTTGACTGACTCATGAGTTCTCCTCTTTATGGGCCATTGCTGGAGACAGTCTACTGCTTTCTAGATGATGATCTTTTTCATGTATTATTACATAAGAATATTTTCCCTACTATGCTAGTGGGTCTGATCTTCTGATATTTTCCCTTTATATCTAATCATCTATCCTTTTTTAATATTTTTTTCTTAGTTGTTGATAGATCTTTATTTATTTTTTAAATTTATTTATACATGGTACTGAGAATCAAACCCAGTGCTTCACACATGCCAGGCAAGTGAGCTACCACTGAGCCACAGTCCCAGCCCTGATCTTCTATCCTTTTAATATAATATTTTCAGAAGCACCAAAATGTCAAGATTCATCAGCTATTCTGCAACCTGCTCCTTATTCTGGTGTTTCCCAAACTCCTACTACAATCTTCATGGAGACCATACGCTTCTTGATGAAAGTCAATGCTGTGCAGGTCAGACTATTTGGAAAAGGACATTAGATGGAAAGACTTTAATGAATTACTTTTTATATTCATAGTGTTTTCTTTGTAAGCTTAAATATGTATGAAGCAGAAATCAAATAAACTTTTTTTGAGAGGCGCTGGAGATAGAACCCCTGGGTGCATACTAGTCCTGGTGCATGCTAGGCACATTCTACCATCGCGCTATATACCCAGCCCTTCAAATATACTTTCCAGAGCACACCTTAAGCCCAATAGTAAAAACATGCAAACATGAACCACTCTCTGCGGATGGCACTAGCACACCTCACTGCAAGTCTCCTCCCTACTGTAGAATACCAGCAGAACCAAGTCAGACTCTTTAAGTATTTGCAGCCTGATATCACTTTCTTTGGGGAATTAATGTGGGCTAAGGGTTCATAGGAACCTTCTCATACCTTTTTTTTCCTTTTTAGATCTGATCAATTGAAAACAGATGCATAGTGCCATATGGGGAAGGGGTTAAAATATTACATTATTTTTATCAATAAAGCTGGGATTAAGAATATAAGTGTTCCCACATTTAACTTACCCTTGCAGTCATAGGTGGAGCAGCTGGAGAACTGCAGCCTCCTCCCAGAAAAGAAGCACATTCTATGAGATCTACCCTACCACATGTCAAACAAGAAGCATATCCATGAGCAAAAGATATCCAAGTACAAAAGATAGCAAGATCCAGGAGCCAAGGGATTTGGCCCTGATCTTAGCACATTAACTCTTCACAATTAGAAACAGGCTCTCTTTTTTCCCAATTAAATAAGTCATTATTCGCCTTAGGTCAGAGAGCCAAAAGGCAGGTAGAGAGAGCAACTACACCCACTATCCTCACCCAGTATTTTCCTAAGAAGGTAAAAGTATCAGTGGAGGTTTTATATTATAGGCTGAATGGGAATAGACTGAGAATACAAGAAGGGTTTCCCTGTGCTCAACATCTGACTTGTCAAATTTGCAGCCCTTTTGAAGTGTGAAAAACAAATAGCTCCAAATACAAGATGTGGCAGAAACAGATATTTGTTTTCAGGTCTAGAGTCTAGAATCATAGAGAGGCAAGATTTGCCTCACCATGTGTTTCCTTATGGTGACAGCTGTCTGTTACTTGGTGTGTAAATGGGATGGTTGAGGCAATGCCTTTGTCTGCTGCATAATAAATACATTCTAAAACTCACCTCGTATCATGACTAGCAAGATCAGAATTGTGTGATATTGCAGGTTATTCTCTTGGAAATATCTCCATTTGGTGCCTAAGTGAGTAGTTGATAATGGAACATGAAATATACTGAATGTTTGTAATTCACTCCGTGTCTCACCATGATTATCCTAGAAGTATAGTGTGTGAAGCTTCTAGAAATGTGGCTTACTGGTACTTTCTTTATATAGTATGAAAAGCAAAGAAAACCTACCTGCAACCCTTTGAAGTTGAGGATAATAATTTCATTCTATAAGATGTTCATTATTGGTTATTATCAGAGACAGAATCCTTCAAATGTGAAAGCTATGGGACTAATGCAGTGCAGCCATGTACATGTTCCTTATGGTCTGATTTCATTGTAGTATGTGCACAGAGTACTCGCACATGAGCTGTTATGCCCTCAAGGAGGCCCCAGCTGTGAATATTACTTGGTGCTGGCCCAGACACACCTTCTGAAGAAGGACTTTACCAAGGCAGAGGAATGCCTTCAACATGCAGTCCGGCTGGACTACCTGGTAATGACTTTTGCAAGAAGCTCTGGGGTGGGAGAAGGAGTGAGCAGGCCTTATTAAAGTTAATGATGCCTGCTGGGCATTGCCAAGTACACCTGTGGTCCCAGCACTTGGAAACCTGAGGCAGGAAGATGAATTAAGACCAGGAGTTCTAGGCCATTTCGGGTAACACAATGAGACCTAGTCTCAAAAAATAGTGGTTATGGGCTGGGGTTGTGGCTCAGTGGTAAGCGCTCGCCTAGCACATATGAGGCCCTGGGTTTGATCCTCAGCACCACATAAAAATAAATAAATAAAATAAAGGTATTGTGTCCAACTACAACTAAAAAATAAATATTAAAAAAATAGTGGTTATATGTTAGAGGTAGATTTTTGGTGACCAGGGGTGGGGCCATTGGCTGTCAGTAAACTCTATATATACTAGTCCATTTGTTTTCTTAAGTAATCATGAGTTTTGCTGAGGGAAGAGAAAAGGAGAAAGAGCTCTTTCACAGATAATGTTTACCTATTTCAAGTTTTTTAGACCTGCTTTCTGCTTGGTTATGCTTGAATGTTTTTCTTAATATTTACCCCAAAGACAAAATGGTTTTGAAGAATACAAGAAAGAAATGAGACGACAGACCTAGAAAAATACCTTCCAGTGCTGTGAAATGCTTCTGAGTGCTCACAGAATGTTAAACATAGTCACTAATGTACTTTTAAATATCACCTCATCCCATTTTACTACTTGTTGTTTACTTTCTCAGAACCCTAATGTCTGGGGCATGAAAGGTCATCTCTATTTTCTGAGAGGAGATCATGCTGAGGCCAAGGCATGCTACGAGCGAACCATTAGTTTTGTATTGGATGCTTCTGAGATGCACTTCATATTCCTGCGACTGGGGCTTATCTATCTGGAAGAAAAAGAGGTAAGGTATAGCGGAAGGATAGTAATCATGTAACTTAAGCCATGGTCTGGTACCTGATATAGTTCAAATATTTATATCTTATAACCAGTATTATGATAATGAGGCTTTTATATCCAAAGGTAAAGACTGGCCCAATTTTTAACTCCTAATTTTTGGTACATCTGTTACTGCCATAAAACCAAAAGCTAGTTTGCCTTCTCGTCCCCACCCCCAAGAAATTTTACTCCTTAATCTTAAGAGTATCCTATTTTTCCATGAGGTGGTCCCTGTCTCACCATGATTATCCTAGAAGTATAGAGTGTGAAGCTTCCAGAACTGTAGCTTAGTAGTACTTTCTTTCTATAGTACGAAAAGGCAAAGAGAACCTACCTGCAAGCCTGTAAGAGGTCACCTTCATGTCTAACCTGGCTAGGAGTGGGAATCGCCTGTTATCGGGTAAGAGAATGAGGTCTTGAGACCAACCCATGCACACTAATGACCTTGATTCCTTGGTCTTCTGTCACACTGGGGTTTGTGATGATGGCAGGGTAGCAATCATGGCAGTCTGCTGTAATGAGAAGCCGCTTTAAAAAGCTGTTCATGAACTGAAGATCAATCTAATTTAGAAAAAGAAAATATCCTTAAAAATTCTACAAAAATCTGAATCAGGAAGCTATATAAAATTTTTCACATTATTTGGTTTAGGTACACTTTAGTGACATTATCTGTGAGAAAAAGATTATGTGGGAAATGAAGAATCTACTCAATTAAAAAATCAATTGATAGCTAGGCATGGTGATGCACACTTATAATCCCAGCAGCTCCAGAGGCTAAAACAGGAGAATCCTGAGTTCAAAGCCAGCCTCAGCAATGGTGAGGCACTAAGCCTCAGTGAGACTGAATGGGACCCTGTCTCTAAATAAAATACAAAAATAGGGCTGGGGATGTGGCTCATGGTCAAATGCCCCTGAGTTCAATCACTGGTACCAAAAAAATAAAAATAAAAAAATTTATATTTATTAAGCATTGTGACCTGTTTACTGTAGGAGCTATTACAATTCCCAGTAAAAGATTCTGCTCTACCTCTCCTAAAAATTCACTGCTCGCCCTTCCATCCTGTCATCCAGTCTTTAAAAGAGGCATATATCTTACAATTCTTGTTTAATTTCTTCACATGTATTCTTAATCCCATTTCTCTGTTTTCTACTCTCTAATTTTTTTCTTAACTTTTATCTTCCCCATATGTTTCCTTTTTTATTATACTACCACCACTTGATTGTTATCCTTAACAAAAGAATTATCTCTGTTCCCTGTTTTCTCTTCCTTATTGGTATTATGTTCATTATGGAAAATTTAGAAGATACAAAATATGAAGAAAAAAGTTTGCATAATCCCCAAATCCCAACAGAGAAAAACCACTGTTACCATTTGTATGCATTTTCCTTCACTCTTGTTCACATATACAGTTGAAAGCCTTTTTTTTTTTTTTTTTTTAAGAAGAATCTAGCCCCAAACTTCTGGGCTCAAATAATGCTATTGCCTCAGCTTCTGTATAGCTGAGATTATTGGCAGGCACTGCTGCACCCAACTATGAAAACAATTTTAATGCCTAATATATATAAAGATTGCAAGGCAATATATATATTTGAGATATACATATATTACTATATATTATATATGCAGTATAAGTATTATATAGAATATATAAATATAATATAAATATGACATTATATGTGAATATAATTATTATATATTGTATAATGTATATTATATTAATTATATATTATTTACATAATATATAATTATATATTGCCTTGTAATCTTTACGCAATATGTATATGTATTATAATTATATATAATATATATATTTATCCTTATAATCTGTTTTCTACTAAATATAACATTACTATCTTTTCGCATCACCAAATAATCTAAAACATGAGTTCGAATGCCTGCATGATGTTCTGTGGTATAGATATGTAAGTAGGATGACCCTGTATTTTTTATCTCATAAGCCAGGACACTAGTGAGACTGAAAAAGGTGATGTTATAATTATACTGGGATACAGGCTTATGCCTTACTGGGAATCAGAACTTATGTTCATATACATAAGCCATGTGCCTCCTGCTCTGCCTTCCCAGAAAGGATATAAACCATCTGTGTCTGTTAGAAAACTGGGAGCATTCTAAAAAATAAAAGAGATCAACTACACAAACTATTCAGTATAGTCATGATTCTGTTTGTTTCGAGTATTATAAAAAAGTATTCTTATTAAGATAGAAACAGCCAGGCGCAGTAGTGCATGCCTGTAAATCTCAGCTACTCCGCAGGCTGAGGCAGGGGGATTGCAAGTTCAAAGCCAGTCTAGGCAACTTGTGAAACTCTGTCTCAAAATTTTAAAACTAAAAAAAGAAAATGGGGGCTAGGATACACAGTTCAGTGGTAGAATACCCTGGTTCAATCCCCAATACCCCTGAAAAAGAAACAGAAACAAAAAAACTATCGCTAAGATGTCCAAGTAATTCCTCCATCAATATTTTAGTCATACTATTCCTATATCTGGATATTCTATAATTTATTTGACCAGTTATTATTAGTCCTGTTATTTTATACAGTCATACTTTTATACATGAAGCTGAAATAAACATTTTTGTACTTAAATTAACTGTGATTATTTCCTCAGGATATATTTCTAAAAGACTGTATATTTTTAAAGTCTCGCCTTCTAGAAAGGCTTTATACTGATTTATACTCTCTGGTAGAAGTGTGAGAGTCCATTTAACTATTACCTCAATCTGAGAGGTATCTTATTTGCAGTTGTATAACTAATAAGTCTGAAATAATATTGTATATATTTCTGAAGAAATTGTTCATTTCTCTGTCCCATTTAATTAATGCTCACTTCATTGCCATCAAGCATATACCTCTTTCCACTTGGATGAAATTCTCTAACAAAAAAGTCCCCTATGACACCCTAATTGCCAAATGCAACACTTAGATGAAGTTGTCACCTAGGTGAAAATCTCTGTGGCACTTAACTCTGTTGACCATGTCCTTCCTGAAGTGGTCTCTTCCCATAGCTTTTACAACAATGCATTCACGTCCTGCCAAATCTGTACCTTCATCTCTGATATTTCTTTCTTGGCTCTTTTTGCTGGATCCTCATGTTTTCCCCACCGTAGTTTATGGGCTCCTCTGGGCTCTATGGTGAGTCCTTCTCTATGTCACATGTTTTCCCTAAGAAGTATCATCTATCCCCATGGTCTTTTTTTTTTTTTTAAATATTTTTTTAGTGTTGTTGATAAGACTTTTATTTCATTTATTTATTTGTGGTGCTGAGAATCAAACCCAATGCCTCACACACGTCAGGCAAGCGCTCTGCCACTGAACCACAATCCCAGCCCCTACCCCCATTGTCTTAACTACCACTTGTGCCCTAATGAATTCTTAACCTTTAGTTTTTAACACTTTTCAAGTTCTGGCTGGTCCTTGTATCACACAGCTCCATTTAATGGTTCACCAGATACCTCAAAATGAACATATACAAAATATTTAGTCTTAAGAGATGGGTTAACCATTTGTGACCCAGGAGCATTCTCACATTCCCTTAAGCCTTGAGCTTCTCATGTGTTCTCTATCTTAGTGAATGGAATGATCATGAACCAAATCAACCAATCCAGAAACCAAAGATGTATCATATTATATTCCCATTAATTTTAATTAGGCATTCAATATCCTAATGATTTTGTCTCCTAAATGTTGAGTCTATTGACTCTTGATGTTTCTATTTTTATTACTGTAATTTATATCTCATCCCCTCTTTACCTGCTAATGTGGTCTCCTGTCCTCCTTCAACTCATTATCAAAATGAACTTTAAAATATGCAAATGCCATGTTACTTTTCCTACTTTAATGGCTACTTCTTGTTTCAGAATAAAATTAAAATTTCTTTGAACAATATATATGTTCCGTTTGCTTCCCATCTCTCATCTTGTTTCCTTTACTTCCCCCTCTTCCTTCCTTCCTTCCCATCTCCCTCCCTCATTCCTCCTACCAACTCCATCTCTATTTTTCCCAACTACACAGCATACTTAGTTTCTTGAGCATGCTGTACTCTCTCATGACTCCATGCCTTATTCTTTTTATCTCGAATGCCTTTCTTCACCTTGAACAACTAATAAATCCTGCTTATCCTTCAAGATTCATTTTAGTGTTTCTTCTCTGAGGCTATCCTTTAATCTCAGAGTACAATTAATCCTGTTTTCCTGTGTCTTTCCACTGGATTATATGTATGCTTTTATTACAGAAATATTTACTCTGTAATTGAAATATGTAAAAAAAAAGCATAATGAAAAATCAAACATATCTGTCAGTAAGGTCTTTGAGGGCAAAATTTATGTTTATTTTTTGATGTAGGCATCTAGCATACAGCTTGGCACAGAGTAAATCCTCAGCACATGTAAGCTGAGTAAATAATGAATGAAATCAGTGTCTCAAGAGACATTTAAAGTGCGGGCCAAAGTATGGGCATGACTAAAAGGCCCATCCATCTTGTCTTGGGCAGAGAAACTCATATATTAAAAAAAATAAGAATATTTTTTAGTTGTAGTTAAATAAATAAAATAAAGGTATTATCTATTTGTATGTGGTGCTGAGGATCAAACCCAGTGCCTCACACGTGCTAGGCGAGCGCTCCACCGCTGAGCCACAATCCCAGCCCTCATTCTTCTTTTAAAACAAAAGTATATTGAGTTACTGTATTGGGGGAGGTGAAGACAGGCTTATTATTTCCTTAGACCTTTTGAAAGTTTTACAAAGAAAACTCATAGTTTAAGGAAGCAGTCATGATTTTATGTGATTTTTATGATTTTATTTTATCTCAGGGGGGTATCCTAGAGATCCTGAATACTATATTGATTACTCGGGATCAGGCTTTAAATAACATTTTAGGAGAAAGGAAGCCTTCTCAACAGTAGTATTTTAACAGACTCTAATCTCAAGAAAGAAAAGCAAACTTCAAAGAAAAAAACCTAAAAAGGTATCTGACAGTCCACTGTAGATGGGAAAAATCACTGAATGACGCACACATGATAGTGAGTATTCACGACTTTCCAATCCAAGGACTTAAAGCTTCATGGTTCACAGAAGACCTGTGGGACTGCTATAGAGGGAAGGAGGAAGAGGGCTATAGAGGGAAGGAGGAAGAGGAAGTTGAGTCTCAGGCAGGGTTCCAGAATCTCCTATCTCACTTTTTAGTCAGAGCAGTTTCTCTTTTAATTTGGTTCATATATTGTACCACCACCTAATATTTTGTTTGACTAATTTGGATGCTAAAAATATAAAACAATGATAACCACTGGTAGTGATCATGGACATACATTACTTGGACATAGTGGTTTTATCTAAGCTGACTCCAGCTGTTTAAGTGGAGACTACTTTACCTTACAATTCATGTGTCTCTCTTTGCTGTCAAGCTGGAAGAGCTCATGGAGGCGGAAGATGCTCTCTCTGAAGCTAATGTGTTAAACAACTACAATGCTGAAGTATGGGCATACCTGGCTCTGGTCTGCCTGAAAGTGAGTATTCTTATTCTTATGCAATGCCTTTTAGGGAGCAGAGGTTAGGGGCAAAGTAAGTGAGAGATAGAAGATGGCTATTAATGCATAATAGTTGTAGTTTAATGAGATCTAGATTTGGTCATTATTACCGATGACAACGGAAAGGCCAACCCTGAGAATCCTCTACTTGCAATGTATATAAAACTCATATATTCAAATGTGATTTTCTAGTTAAGGGAGTTCTAAAAATGTGACCATTGTTCTGTTAGAACACAAACCAGATTAAGGATCCATGAAGGAGATGCTCTCTGAGTCTTTCTGAATCATTTCTTTCTCTAAACCTGTGGCTGAGGGTGCTTGTCCTTGATTCATATGGGAAACAGGTTGAAGAAGGTATTATGGGAGTTCTTGATAGGTACTTTACCTATTAAAAAAATAACTCTCCTATAGTGAGACTTAAATAACTTGCACATTAGTCTAAGATCAAATTGGGAATAATGAGAGCCACCCTCAGTTTTTTCTTTAACCTTTATTTATTTATTTTTATTTGGATCGAACCCAGTGCCTCACATGTACTAGGCAAGTGCTCTGCCACTGAGCTACAATTCCAGTCCCACCCTCAGTTTTTCAATGACCAATGACACGAAAGAGGGAATATTATAAGGGAAATGAACAAAATAAAAATGTAATTTGTATGTAAATTTTTTTCACAGTATTTCCTAGTGGCTCAAAATGGGAAACATTTGTTTACTCCATCAGTGAATGAGTAAACAAAATGAGAATATTTACACAATATAGTACTACTCCATAATTACGATGAAATTTTGATACATATTAGCAATGTGGATGAGCCTCAAAAACATTAATGTAAATGAAAAAAGAAAGGTAGAAAGACTACATCTGTTATGATTCCCTTTATTTGAAATTAGAGAAACTATATAAATAGTAAAAATAGATTAATGGTTGTCTGGAGGCAAGGGTGGGGTGAGAATGAGGACTATAAAATAGGCATGAAAAAACTTTATTTTATTTTTTGGTACCAGGGATTGAACCCAGGAGCACTGAACCACAGAGCCACATCCCCAGCCCTTTTTGGTTTTTTGAGGCAGGGTCTCACTAAATCCTTAGGGCCTTGGCTTTGAACTTGTGATCCTCCTGCAGCAATCTCCAGATCTGCTGGGATCATAGGCGTGTACCACCACAACAAATACATGAAGAACTTTTCAGGGTAACAGAAGTCTTTTAAAACTCGATTATGGCTGAGGTTGTGGCTCAGCAGTAGAGCGCTTGCCTAGCACGCAAGGCCCTGGGTTTGGTCCTCAGCATCACATAAAAAAAAAAAAAAAAATCAATAAAATAAAAGGTATTGTTAAAAAAAAAAAAAAACCCACAAAACCTGGGCTGGGGTTGTGGCTCAGCAGTAGAGCGCTCACCTAGCACAGGCGGGACCCGGGTTCGATCTTCAGCACCACATAAAAATAAAGGCATTGTGTTGTGTCCATCTACACCTAAAAAATAAATATATATATATTTTTTATAATTTTAATATTTATTTTTTAGTTTTCGGCGGGCACAACATCTTTGTTTGTATGTGGTGCTGAGGATCGAACCCTGGCCGCGCGCATGCCAGGCAAGCGTGCTACCACTTGAGCCACATCCCCAGCCCCCCTAAAAAATAAATATTAAACAACAACAAAAACAATAAAACTGGATCATGGTGATGGTTGAACAACTTACTAGACCTTGAAAGTAGTGAACTCTGTGGTATATAAAGTGTGCTTTAATGTAAGCCATTTTAAAAACACAATTTAGTCTCTGAAAATGAGGAGCAAGTAGATATTTAATAAATAGTGGTGGGGAAATTGGATTCTACCCATTTGAAAAAGAAATTAGTTTCTTATCTCACACCCCCCTACAAACACACACACACACACAATTCCAGCTGGTTTAAAGACCCAAATCTTAAAAGCAAAACCTGTTGAATACCTAGAACAAATACAGAGAAGATTCCTATGATCTTGGTTTATGGAAGTTTTCTTAGGGCTCTAAAAGCACAAACTAAAAATAAAACACCAGTAAATGAACTACTTTAAGGTTGGAAACTCACACATATCAAAACAGAAAACCCAGTGATATAAAATTAGTATCCAAGTTATATAAATAGCTCCTATAATAAGGGAAAAAAAAAAAAACCCCTATCAACAAACTGGTTTAAAAAATAGGCACAGGATAGGAATATGCAGCTTGCTAAAGTAGATCACTAGTAAGCATGAAAATACAATTCAAAATAATGTGACAAATTCACAATTCTTGAGGCAAAAATCAAAATAATGTGACAAATTCACAATTCTTGAGGCAAAAATTAAAGTATGGTATTACCAACATTAATGAGGATTCTCATAATTGCTAGTGGATGTAAATCAGTACCACAGTATAAACTTTTTAAGTGCACTGTAACATTATTTACTCACATTCCTACCTGTAATCTGGCAATGCTGCTGCAGTCTGGCTGGGCAAACTAAGGGGGGGGGTGTGTGACAAGGAACTTGTGAAGGTTGATACAGCGGGAGCCGCTTTATTACGGGACAGAGAAGTATATATACCCAACTAATTACACACAGCTTAACTTAATTAACATAAACTAGATACAGCAGTCAACCAATAAGGAATCAGCATCTTAATGATTACACACAGCTTAACTTAATTAACATAAACTAGACACAGCAGTCAGTCATTAAGGAATCTCTATCATCTTAATGGTTCGCTGGCGTTACTTCTCAAACCACTCCTCTTGGCAAAGTGCCAGGCGCCATCTTGACTTGTCTATGGCTCTCAACACAATGCCATATCTAAATACGTTTCTTAAGAAAAATACATGATAAGTGCCACGACCAGCAAAACTAGCATGTTAGCAGCAGCCAAACTAGCATGTTCCAGCAAGGGGCAATGAGAGATGGGAAGAAATAAAGAGGAAACACAGGCAGATCTTGATGATAAAGCAGCTGGAGTCAGATGGAGCAGCTGCTCTCTGATGGAGAATCAGGTCTCAAGAATTACACCAGCAATCTTTATCATATATGTCTCTAAATCAGATGAAAGGCTATGCAAGCATTATTCTTTTAAAAAAAAAAAAAATATTAGTTGTAGTTGGATACAATACCTTTATTTTATTTATTTACATGTGGTGCTGAGGATGAACCCAGGGCCTCCACTAAGCCACAACCCCATCCCCAAGCATTATTCTTTGTATTCATGAAGTTAACAGAATTAGCAACAGAATGCAGCTATTTCCTCAGTTACATTCTATAGTTGCAATGTGCAATGTTAGGAGCTTTGTGCAGCTCTGAAGAAAGTCCACTGTTTAAAGTTACTAATTTGAGGGCAGATTCAGGAGCATGGAACTGGTGAAACATTGTTGTTTCCTTAGCAAGGAAGTTCCTTCATTCCCAGGAGCTGCTGTGCCTGAGAATAAGGTCAAAGCTGATAAGACTCTAGCATGGAGGACATCTCCATATGCCTTTACACAGAAACTTTCCCAGTCAACAAGTATGCCATAGGCATGAAGTCATCAGGGAGCCCAACCTCAGACACTAGTCTCCCAGTGACTATCACCACTCTCCACACATAAGAATGTATATCTTTATTTCATGGAAGCTCTATTAAGCATTACTGTAATGATGTTCAGAATAATAAAATTATTTTTCAAAACTGCTTGGAGGGGCTGGGATTGTGGCTTAGCGGTAGAGCACTCGCCTAGCATGTGAGGCCCTGGGTTCGATCCTCAGTACCACATAATAAAATAAAATAAAGGTATTGTGTCCAATTACAACTAAAAGTAAATGTTAAAAAAAAAAAAAAAAAAACCTGCTTTGACTATTCTGGATGCTCACATCATTTGGGCCTCTGCCTCCCTTCATCAGGAGGGAGTCAGAGGTAGTAGTGGTAGAAAGAGTAGGTATACTGGAACTTCAGGAGGTAATATTTCAGATGGTAGATGCTGTAGGAAGTGAGGGTTTGGGACATCCAAATTTTGTGAATTAGTAAAAATTCCACATGACTAGCACTGATCAGGAGATTGGATTAAACATCCAAAGTTCCCTTGCAGTGCAAATATTCTGTGGTTTTTTACATATAAGCTTTCCTTAGTGACTATACATATTCTAACTTCTTATATTCAAACTTGTGAAGTGTAATAGGGAAAACATATCATCTCATTTAACTCTTGGAGGAGAGCTTCATGCAAAGAATATATCAACTGGGCAGAGTAGTTAGTTTTCTCACCTCATATCCAGAGCTGCATGGAAGGAATCCTAATATTTACTTTTTATAATACATGGAGATGGGATAAAGTATAGTAGATAAAAACTTGGACTCTGGAGCCAGACTTCATTTTTTTAAAACCCAGATCTTCCACTTACTAGTTAAAAAACCCTGGCAAGTTATTTATAATCTCTGTGCCTTAAGTTTCTTTCTGTTAACATGGAATGATAAATAATAGTAATTATCTGGGAGTGAGGTGGCACATGCCCATAATCCCCAGTGGCTTGGGAGGCTGAGGCAGGAGGATCACGAGTTCAAAGCCAGCCTCAGCAACTTAGCAAGGTTCTAAACAGCTTAGCAAGACTTCGTCTCAAAATAAAATATAAAAAGGGTTGGGGGACTGGGATTGTATCTCAGCGGTAGAGTGTTTGCCTAGCATGTGTGAGGCACTGGGTTCAATCCTCAGCATCGCATAAAAATAAATAAAGGTATTGGGTTCATCTAACATTTTTTTTTTTTTAATGGGCTGGGGATGTGGCTCAGTGGTTAAGAGCCCCTGATTTCAATCTCTGGTACCAATAATAATAATAATAGTAATTATCTCCAGGTTATAAGGATTAAAAGTGAATATATTTAAAGCACTTAAAACATCATGAGGAAAACAATGGAAATCACATGTAAAATGTTGCAATTACTAACAAAATGGCATGAATTCTAGGAGGAACAAATGACTCATGAGCTTTTCAGAAAAAAAAATGAGAGGCCAAATTGTTTCTAAAAATTTCCTGGAAAAGCTACAAGAGAAAGGAAGCAGATTACATTTAGGGGTAACCCAATCAGGATAACAGCTGATCTTTCAACACAGACTCTGAAAGCTAGAAGATCCTGGAATAACATATTTCAAACACTGAAAGAAAATGGGTTCCAACCAAGAATTGTGTATCCAGCGAAATTAAGCTTCAGGATGGAAGATGAAATTAAAACCTTCCACGATAAACAAAAGTTTAAAGAATTCGCAGCTAGAAAACCATCTCTTCAAAACATCCTCGCCAAAACATTACAGGAAGAGGAAATGGAAAATAACAATGAAAACCAACAGTGGGAGGTAGGACAGTAAAGGGGGGGAAAATAATCAAAGAGGAAAACAAACCATGTTTAGTAACAGAAATAAACAAATATGGCTGGAAGAACAACCCATATCTCAATAATAACCCTAAATGTTAATGGCTTAAACTCACCAATTAAGAGACACAGGCTAGTAGAATGGATCACAAAACAAGACCCAACAATATGCTGCCTATAGGAGACGCATTTGATAGGAAAAGACATACATAGGCTGAAGGTGAAAGGTTGGGAAAAATCATATCACTCATATGGACTTCGGAAACAAGCAGGAGTGTCCATACTCATATCAAATAAAATAGATTTCAAGCCAAAGTTAATCAAAAG